GAGAGACTTGAGCACAGCCAGTTTCTTGTGAGGAACGCCACGATGCTTCACATTAAAGTAAATCAACCACCTCATCTCTGCACTGGCGCTGATGCAGAATTAAAAAGATGTACTCGTGTGCCGTCAGGTCACACGGCCAGAAAAGATCAGCCTTGTCCTAACCTGGCAGCATGACGGGAGCAGAGCAGTGCTCTGGAGAGGCAACAATCTTGCTGAATGCATAAAAGATGAGGCTGGGCAGCCGCGAGATCTCATCAAGCTTTGACCTTCACTTAGGCTGGCTGCGTTGTCTTCTGTTCCATTTAGCAGTACTCTTAAAGAGCAAAGAGGCGGACAGGATTTCTATAGATCCAATTATACTCTCCACTAGAAACAAGCCAAGGAAGGCAATCTGTAAGTATCAGTCTTCTCATCATATGCACATGGGGTTCCTATAAAAACCCTTTTATTTACTTCAAAGATTGTCTTCTGGCTTTCCTAACACATTTGCACTTGTTTCTTTGCCTCTTTCTCATCTTTTTTTATTTCCTAATAGCCAACGGACATGGATGAATCATATATTATTTGTAATAATAACTCGCTAACAACCCTAACCCAAGGAAGCAAAAATCGGAGAGTGCGATGCGAGTCTGAAGAGTGGCTTAGCAATTCCTCTCTACCCTGCCACGGCGGGAGGTTTGAAGATTCTGACAGCCTCGTATTCACCCTGGCCCCTCGGTTCCAACGGCAGCGCAAGGAGAGAGCCCGGGAGGCTGCCGCAGTGCCGCCGGGGCCCGGCAGTGCCACAGTAGGGAACGGGATGCGCTGAGACCCAGCCCTCTGCCAGGACATAGCGTGCGTGGGAAGGGAAAAGCTGGTCTCTCGCCCACCTATGCGTCATGAAGCCTGCCTCTAGCCAGTTCCGTCTGCCTGCCTATCTGTTCAGCCGGAGAATATTCATTATTAAAAAAACGGGCCTGCACATATATGTGCATCTATCATCGACACACACCTGCCTAGATGTGCGAAGATGCCCTTACACGCTTCCTCACCTCCTCCTCCCTTCCCTTCTCTCTCAATACTCCTCCCAGATATGCTTGGAAGTTGTCAAATGACAACACAACTGCACCTAGATGGAGACTAATAGTTCAACTGCAGACAAGAATATTTGGGGAAATGGGGCAGGAAGAGAACGGACAAAGTCCGAGAGCTTTTATCTCTGTAAGCATGCCTTGTGCTGCGCAGTGTCAGCACTAGCAGAATTCACTTTGTTCCCCTCGGTGGGAAGTAACCAGAACAAATACGTTGCACGTACTGGTCCATGTAGTGGTTAGTCCTGAAGAAGAGTATGTTTGCAACTACCAAAATCCTACTTTTCACAAAACCATCAATTTAAACATCTGTCTTCTCCTCCAGTACGCCTGCCGGAGGTAGGAAGGCAAATTTCCTGAACTTTACATATCAGCCCCTGAAAATAAATCCTTCAACTGACCCACCGCCACTGAAGAGACTACTTAAAAAATGTCTCGTCAAGGATATGTTTGCTTAAAGGCCATTATGCTGTTATGAATCAACATTCCAGATGCTAAACAAATGCCAATTAGCAGTATTAAAAAAACAGATGCCTTGTTCTGAGTGAGTACCACTGCCTGGTGTTTGAAAGGAAAAAAATGCACAGAACATGCTGGAAGCCACTGTCCTATTAAAAGGACAGCTTTTAAATAGCTTTTCTGAGAGGCAAACTTAAAAAGCTGTAAAAGCAACTTATTATGAAAGTCTCAGCATAATTTTCCATCAGTATGGAAGAAGGTTAAGCTGTCCCCTGCCTTAAGCTGCTTTCTGTTAGAAACCAAGCGGTGAGCAGAACAGGTATGGCACAGAGTCAGGTCCACGGAAAGAGTAACCAAGAAAGCACCACACTGCAGCTGCCTACAGCACTCCAACCTATGCTGCAGGTGTCAACGTTTGGAAAAACAAAAGCACAAGTTCTTTTACTGTTAATCTCCTTTATATGTACAATAAATCCCTGTCAATATGACCTCACACACACACAAATTTAAAGCCATTATAGGCACTCCTTACATCCGTCACTTGAAGCTCTTTCTCAGCCCACTGATCTGAAACTTCCACAAGGCACCCAAGTCATCTCACCTACTTCTGAGAGCTGGGAAATTCTTAATATAAATCAAAGGAAGGAACACGATTCCTCCCCAGCTTATCACCCACCTATTAGATGTGTGCCAATCCACAAAGTTAACAGGGTATTTTATTTCAGTAGTTTTGGCTTGAGCTCAACTGTTTTCTTAAGCAATCTGACTTCTAATTGCAACTTGCTCTTTTAAATGGATCAGAAGTTGGCATGTTGTAAAACAGGGTGATCTCAGCCCCCACCTGCACCACAACCTGCTAAAGAGTAACAGCACATAAATGGGATATTCAGAGCAAAACCTACAAAGCCAGAAGCCTTGTCCCTATAAGAAAGACAGTAGGATGCATTATGCTCCTGGGTATACAGGTGGCCAGACAGACAAAGAAGCATAATACCCACCACACGTGGCACAAATAGCTTCTAGGGTTTTTTGCTGGTTTATGCCCAAGAAAGGCAGCCATGTACTGCTTCCTGAGCCTGTTTGCCAGAGTCCTAAAAGCCCAACAGACTGCCAGGGGAAATGAGAAATGTTCTGCAAAGTTCTTGTTTTGAAAAGGAGCAGGAGCTAGGAATTATTAGAGAACTATTAGAGAATAATTAGAGAAATATTAGAACATTACTTAAAAGATAGGATCAACATTAAAAAAAATGTACAAAAGTGAGGAACAGAGAAAAAAAGGCATATACAATAAACAATACAGATAGTAATGGAACACTTCTGATACGTAGCTTGCAGTTGTTAGACTAAGACCCTGACAGTGCCTGTATATATCTAAAGGCTAGGGGAATTACTTATAGATGAAGTCAAAGAAGACAGAGAATTTCTTATATACAAAGAACAGAACAGCTAGGACTTTTGAAGGCTCTCAGAGCTCAGAAATCCTCCTGGAACTGTGTGGACCAGGGGCTCAGCATAAAAAACTCAGAACTTGACATAACAGAATATTCTTGTGACTACTTCACTATTAACTAGACCAAGACTCTTTTTCCCTTTTTTTACCACCCAGAAAACAGCTCATTGAAGTGGCAAAGGATAGTTCACAGAATCGCTGAGCTGGGAAGGCAGCCTAGGAGATTGCCTAGTCCAAACTGCCTACTCAAAGCAGGGTAAACTAGAGCAAGATGCTTAACACTGTATGTCCAGTCCATTTTTTAATATATCTCCAGGGATGGAGACTTCATAACCTCTCCAGGCAACCTGTTCCAGGGTTTGATCACCCTTAGAGTGAAAAAAAAAAAGGTTTTCTTATGTTTAAATGGAATTTCTTACATTTCAATTTGTGCTCACTGCCTCTTGCCTAAATAGGCTTGCTTCATTGTCCTTATTCCCTTCCAGCAGGTATTTATACACGTGGCTAATATTTTTCTTTCTTTTCTCTTTGAGAAGAGAACTTTCTTTTCTCAAGGCTAAGCAACATATTCTGCTTTACCTGCTACTTCAGATATTTTTTGAACTAGAGGAAGATGTGATTCATGTTCTTTCAATCGACATTAGAAGTTCAAGTTTTGTTCTGACAAGAAAACCTTCACAAAAGAAATATTCTTCACAACGAGGATAGTCAACATCAGAACACGCTGTCCAGCAAGGCTGTGCAATCTGCATCCTCAGAGGTTTTCCATACCTGACTGGAGAACATCCTTGAGCAACCTGATATAAGGTGGTCCAGCTTTGAAGAGGTGGATAGATCAGAGACCTCCAGAGGTCCCTTCCAAACTGTACTACTTTATGACTCTGAAAAGGGACCAAGCATGGATATCCAGAATATTCACTGCTTCCCCGGTCTCTTGTTTTCAGCTCCAATAAATCATGAGCTTGCAGGTTGCTTTAAATACTGTATATTCTATATGCTCTGACCAACCTTAATCCTTTTATCATTTAAATAGCTCTCACTAAATCCTTGGCTGCTTTTCTATTTATTTTTAAAATGACACAATGTAGGATTTAATCAAAAACCAAGTTTCACACATTTTTGGATCTAAAGTGAGCTAGGAAGTGCTCTTTAAAGGGATGAGTGCTATCTAAAGCAAAGCAGAAACATATACACTAAGGCACAGAAACAGCACTCATGTCTATAAAGAATATACAATCCCCCCAATGTTCACTAGGTAATTCTCCTGTTTTTCTTCAGGTTTTATGGTAAGTCAATTACTTTCCAAAAATAAAGAGGGGTACGAAAATGTTTGCAATATTCAAGTTAGATATTTTAAAACACAAACACTGTTAAAAAATTACTGAGCACCAAATCTGAACTTGAGGTTATTTGCCCTCAGTTTAATAATAGAAAGGCCTTTGTGCTCTTGGATATGCTGACCAAAGACTGACACACAAGAAAATCTGAACTCCAACTGAAAAGTCTCATGCAGACTCACAGCCAACCAAGCTCATGACAAAAACTGAAGAGCTAAAGAGCAATTAACACACCTGCAGAAATTTCGTTGGCTTCCAAATAAACTACAAAGCCATTTCAATTTTCTATGTACTTCATTGGCATGAGAGAAAAATATCAAGATATCACCAACCTAAAGGAACTTTTTTCCTAGTGAAAACTGAATATGTAACACAATCCCTGGCGGCAACTTCAAAAGTATTTATATAGGTCGCTGCCCACATTAACACTGGTGTTTCACTATTTGCAGTTTCAGATTAAGGCAATGAAAATAAGCAAGTTATGGATCTACCAGAAATCTCATTGATAATATATGACACTTGATGGCAATACCTCTTGGTCAACCGGAAATGTTAACTAAATACTATCTTTTTTTTTTTCCTTTCTTTCTGTCCCCCCAGAGCTCAGCTGTACACTGTGATATTTTAATCTCCTCCTTCTATTCAATGAGAAAAATGCCTCCTTTGCAGGAAAGGCACACTTACTGGCACTTTGAAAGGAGAAGTATTCGAAGCATCCATGGAGTTGGTTTTCTCAGAGGTGCTGGTCCCGGAGATGCTCCGTCTGCGAGGAGATCTCTCTGCTGGGACCTCTGAGGAGAGAAGAAAAAGAAGGTGAATGGGTGCTGGGGGGTGGGGAATAGGCAGCTTTTATGCTGTATAGCAGAGACGCCTCAGCAAAGTTTCAAGTGCATTACTGAACTGCTGAATTACATTCTCCTATTTTTCTGTACCTGATTTATTTACTGAATTACAATGGCATTTCCACTGACAGATTCAAGGTTGTGAATCTGACTTGACAGTAGGCACAACAGGCAATTAAACTAAAAAATGCTGGTAATGATCAATACCCAAACATATTTAGTATTCTGTCACTGTTTGTGATATCAGGAACTTTTTTTTTTTTTTAAAAGCAATGCAGTAATTAACAGATAACTAAAATCAAGACACAGGGAAGCTCCATTTTAGTCCCAGCTGAACACAATTTGACAAAGGTCAAAGTTCGGTCTTACACCATCACACTACTTGCTCAAACCATGCAACCAGCAGAAGACTTGTAACTGCCCGGCTAATATGACATATATATCTCTGCAGATAAAAAAAAAAAAAAAAAAATGGGTCAACTTCTTTTCATTCTGGCAATATGACCTTACTAAGATACGACTTTGGCATCTTAAATCCATGCAGGCTGATCTGACGAGCACAAATACTCATTAAAGATTCATTTATCTTCTTCTAGTCCAAATACTAGAATAATAGCACGATGAAGTATACACACTATTAAAGGTCTCTACACAAACACACATATACTGTACATACATGCATTTTTATGTATAGCTAGATACACATACATACAGATACCTTTATCACAACTGCTGCCCATCTCCAGCTCAATTGCCAGACTTAAAGGAATCCAGCTTCACAAAACATTCCCCAGCACAGGGTGGGAAAAAAAATCACCTCCTAGCAGAAAGTCCATTGTTATCTTCTGAATCTTAAAGAAAAGGAGTAAGCTGTGACTCCAGACAGTGACATTTTGACTCCTGCTGTTTTCCTTTCAAGAGACAGATGCAGCTTAAACTTCCACTGCTGGCCGCCCGGCCCTGGGGATCCGTGCTACTTCCACTTGAGAGAACGCCGGGTCCCTCCGTTCCCCTCCCTCCCCACAGCTTGCAGAGAGCAAGCGAGCCAGCGAAAGAGAACCACACAGGACTGCAGCTATTCAATCAATCGCTCCGACTGCACATCCTCATTAGTTACTTTCAGGCTATTAACAGACGCCCAACTGCCGGCTTCCCTCCGCTACAGAAAATTTCACTGTATATCCTGATTCACAGCAGCAAAAAAAAAAGGTTTGCAGAGATAGACAGCCAGCTGGTGCCACGAGAGCAGTGTTTTCCTCAAAATAACTGGAGGGGAAAAAAATGAGAAAAGCCTTCTTCAGGGATAACGTTACTTGTGATGTCTTTGCATACCAGATTTTGATTTCACCAGAGTTACAACACGTATCTCCCATGGATGCTTGAAGAACGACAAAATGGAGCATACCGAACGAAAGGCTCAGAAATCTGGACCCTGCAGTGTTAAGTGTCTCACGCTGTAGATACTTGTCTTTTAGAAAACCAGCCCGCTAACCTACAGCCTCCCAGTCTGCCGGTAACCACCGATGGGGAAAGGACTGCTAAGAGGGAGAGCAGCCTCCTAAACGGGGCAAACAAAGTCTTAGCACACAATGTGGCTACCACTGGGAAATGGGCAGAGCAGAGCCGCTCGCTGCTGACCACGAGGACCACGCACAAGCCCTGCTCACACCCACCAAGTAACTCACGGGCTGCCCAAGCCCGCAGAAACTGCCCCACAGCCATATAGCTCTGGGGGAGATGTCTCCTTCGGCCGAAGAGCAGCACGGGGCACCTTCTCTTACGGCTCAGGAGGCATCGCCTGCGCCAGCGCTGGAGGGTGAGTCCCTGTCAGGGCACCTCTAGAGAACAAAGCGCTTGGAGCGGGGCCAGCGCCAGCCCAAGGGTTTTGAGTAGCGGTCAGTCGCATGATCTCAGGAGCCTTTGCAGAGGTTGCTAATTTGAGCTGAAGATGAGCTCTTTTATACCCCCAGCTTCCTCCTCCTGCCTGGACGAAGAGAAACTTGCTTCCTGCAGCACCTGTAAGTATTGCTCTCCCAAAGAGAGCTACACTACACAGGATTTAAGTGACTGCTTCTGCTGTTCTCACTGTAAATGTAATGAAGGCAAATGGGCGTGATATATTCCGTTGGAACTGGGGACTAAGGTGAGCGCCTTTTAGTTTACATCAAATAGTAATGCATAATGTAATAGGCTGGGCTTTCTCCACTTCTAACACACAGGAAATCACATCAAAGCTGCTTCAGTAATTTAACACAGTCTGTTAACTTTGCTGAGTCATAAATGAAAAGAGGTCCTGAATTCCCCCACCATTTTCAACAATAGGTTCTACAGGAGGGGCAGTTTAGGAAAAAGTTTAAGTTTAAACCAAAAGGAATTGAAAAGCTGCAACAAGGAACATGCCTGGCTCTCCCCGCCTTCCCTCTTCCTCCTACATCCACCAGTTCAAGTTCTCTGAAAATAAAACCCCATTGCTAAAATGAGTTTCTTCCCTTCTCAGCCCATGGAAATGTACCAGATGGGGAAGGGAACATGGAATAGTCACAAGGTGCATGCAATTAACTAAAACTATCACTGCCTTTCCCTCTCTTCTCATTCCAAAAACCAAGCGCAAATAAACAACATGCTCAGTCCCCAGGAAAAAGAAGACCTAGATATAGCAAATTTGTTGAAATATGTTACCTGGGAATCAAAAGCTAAAGCACCCTGCTATGACGCCTGCAGAACAGCACTTTTGCTGAGTCGTGTGAAAAAAAAATCTATACTGTCACCACCAGGCAAAAAAAATCAGACAGTTCCCTCCCCTGCTCCCCAAGTAATGCTAGAGGCTGCTCTTGCATAATCTTCACCTGCTGTAAAAATCAATGCACCTCTCACCAGCTTAGTATTAAATTACAGCTGCTTTCTGCATTGCTCACTCTCAGGGATCAAAACTACAGCTAAATCACATTGTTCCTATAGATAAACAATCTGAAATCTTCTTCATCCACCTGCAATTTCTGGGAACAAAAAAAAAAAGGTAGACACTTCTTCCCCTTTTCAACCTTAAAAAAATAATCCATCAAATAAATGAGGTATAAACATCTCAATTGGACACTTTTAGTTTATTGCCTCATATATTGGAGACACGCAGTAATATTTATATAAATAAATACTTATGCAAATAAATATTTACACACTGCATAAAAGTAGTCAGTTACAAATTAGCTGAGGCAATTACTCAGCAGTTGCAGATGCTTCTGGAGAGGGAACTGCCCAAGGATACAAGGAAGGTAGGTCTCTTCACATCTTCATATTGCGCCACTCTCCACCCTCTGCAACGCCAAAGCTTGTTTTGCTGGCCAGAAGGCAGGTTTGTTTAAGACAGGTGCCACTTACTACTAGGAGCAGTGGTGATGACTGACCTCCTTTGAAGGCAGTTGTCTTGGCCACAGTGGTGTAGCCTCAACGACCTCCAGCCGGGATGCGGCTCTGGGACTGGAGATGAACTTCCTATGGCTGGGTGCTCTGGCCACTTGAAATGTGAAACCTGGCTGCTGGGGGAATTTGTGTCCTGCTGTGAGGAGCTTTTCTCAGGGTGACAGAGGTAGAGATGAAACGAACCTCCCAGCTTTGCAGGACAGACCTTCCTACTGCTATCTCCATTTTTCTGAATTAGAAATGATTGGAGAAGGGTAGGGAAAAAAACATCAGGAACAAAGAAAGATCCTCAGGGCTTGGAGAGAAAAGAATTAAGTTACTGAACTTGCAAAGAAGGTCACAGAAACAAAGATTACAGGGGCGTCTGTGATTTTGCAAAGGGCACTGCAATGGAACTACTGCATGGTCTCAGTGGAACTCCTGTCAAAGACTGTGGCACCTTTTACATTGGGCTTCCAACATCCCAGGACTGGCAAGAACATTTCCAGATCTGAGTTCCTGCTTATGAGGTCCAAAAGGTGACTCTAAACCAGTCCCAAAGATGTACTTGGAGATGAAAAAAGGGCTAAGCACATTGGCAAGTGTAACTACGGTCTGTCATTGCTCATAAGGGGCTGGTACTGGTCTCTGTCATGTTGAACAACAGGTCAGACCATCCATTCCAGGCTGGCAGGTTCTGTATTTCAATAATAAAGTTCTTGGCCTGGTCATGTTCTGCACGCCATCATCTTACCAATTGTGACTTAGCAGTTCATAATAATCAACCGATCATCACTAATCAAAGTCACAAGTTTATCAGTTGTGACTTCTAGCAGTTCATATGAACACATGGCTTAGCACTGACCAATTATCTGCTTCAACATCCTTTCTTCTGATGTGCAATAAAGACTTGGATTTGTGAAAGGCTACACTTATCATCCACTGAAAAACCTAAAAATCATAGCACTGACAAAATCTAATTAATATTTCTTTTCCAAGCCATATCTATTGAGGAAAAAAAAATTCTCCGCAAATTAATTCTCTAAATATCTTTATTTGCTATCTTTGTGTTGTCTTCACTAGGAAGGGGACAGACTTGCTGGCATATATTATCTATGGGCCAGGAAGATAAAAGAAAGATATAATAAGATTTCAAGGATTGTGACTTCCTTTTGTTTTGTCTGCACCCATCCAGATGTGATGCAACTAGAGGAGATAGAGAATGTGATTCATAAAAAGAACCAATTCATTCTGCCTCTCAAGTCTAGCTTAATTACAGGCATTTGAAAAGTACAGAACCAGTTCATACAACCAATATGCTCCAGCTTTGGAGCCCTCAACACAAAGAGGACATGGACCTGTTGAAGAGGGTCCAGAGGAGGGCCACGAAGATGATCAGAGGCCTGGAACCCCTCTTAAAAGGACAGGCTGAGGGAGTTGGGGTTCTTCAACCTGGAGAAGAGAAGGCTCCAGGGACACCTTATAGCAGCTTTCAGTATCTGAAGAGGGCCTACAAAAAAATGGGGGAGGGACTCTACAAGGGCTTGTAGCAA